TCAAGATAGTTCTATTGTATTAAGTTGACTCTTCGAGAATGACTACAATCAACATCAAAAAGTTATGAGTATTTATAAACAATTATCTATGTCAGATACACAATATCCATTGACCGGATACCATCAGTAATAGTCTACTATGGGAGAGAAAAGACTAACTTCCAGATAAGGAGGAAATTAAGAAAAGACGTTCAAGGTGAATAGGACACATATAGACGAAATCATCAGACTGCATCACGAGGTAAGCGCTAACTTGAACTCATTCAGGGAAATGGAGAATAGGAAGGCCAAAGAACACGTTATGTCGGAAATCAGAAAAGGATGAATAGCAACTGGAAAGGATTGTCCAAGAAATCGTTCGAAGGAGAACACTAGTGAATGGCCTATGATCCTTTACGAGGGGTAACAGACGTAAACAAATCGTTTTCTAAGCAGTTTAATCTCGATTCTTTCGTTGTTTATCTGGGTCACTTCAATTAGTGCTAGAATTAAGCTATACGGATTTCTCCATATATGACTAACAGTACGCTTCATCAATCTTTAATCAGAGGTGAATATATTCAATATAAATATGTACGGGATAATAGGACATATCCGATTAAAACTAATAAAGGTTGACTGGAAAAGCTGTCAGCCATATATCGAGGAATTCGAATAGTCAACTTTTGTCTGATATAAGTGCTAATTGAAGTTACTCAGATAAGGAATGAATAACACACGACCAAACTGTATGTTTAAAAGAACGCAACTCCGTCGAAATCATACTCTTGAGATGTAACTTTTCTCCATCATCAATAATAATTACTGGTTGCCATTTCAAACATACTCATTAAAGTTATCTGATATAATTAGCACAAAATTATTGAATGGTAATTACCTTAGTGATGTCAAACGTGCAAGAATCATAAAAAATTCGGAACCGGAATGAAGACAAAACACTATTTATCTTTGATATAACAAAAGATTAACTGTTTAATATCATGAATAGATGATGCTTTCAAAGATGCATTTTTCCTTAAAAAACAGTTACGGGACAGCTATCATACTCATTTACGTTTATCTGTATATATTTTTTTAACAGCGAATGAGGATGTTTATTCTAAAAGTTAACGTTCTTGAATATGAAGGAAAAACAACACGGGAAACCTTATAAAACAAATAGATATCGAGAAAAATATATGACAGTAAAGAAAAATGAAAAAGTTCTGAGAAAATTGTTTATCACTAACAGACAAAAACATTTAAGTCTTATGGATAAATATACATTTTGTTGTATTCCAATGAATAGAAAAATAATATTTCTGACGTTTCGTGACCTAATGTAAGTCACTTCTTCAGAGTAAATAAAAAAATTCACTTTCCTCTGAAGAAGTGGCTTACTTTGAGTCACGAAACGTCGGAAATACAATATTTCTACTCAGTGGAATATAACAAAAAATATATTTATTATTAACTCTCTACTTAATTCCCAATTTATTTGAAACTATCAAGTTTAACCTTGACACTAATACCTATAAATTTCAAATCTTATGCTTTATGTTGATCTTAAATTTCTAGTAACAACATACACTAATTTATTTTCATGGCTCTTATTACCTACGATTGTTTTAACGTGGAGTGTACTTCCGATTAACTCGGTCCTGTCCTTTATTTATTGATCAATTCATCTTTCCCTATGATGTCAGTTAAATGAATGAAACCCCTATAATCTCATCACTGTCTCCTCAAACACTGAAAATTGGGTAAATAAATCTGTGAAATAAGTAGCTTTTTGTTATGTCTTATGGCCTATCATAATACCAACTTCTATGACCTTGTTTATATGTTAAATCAACAATGTATCATAGAACTAGCACGCTTGAGTCAACTCTGAGTCATTATTAATCTTCTGTATAGTAGTATAGGTCAGCCTGTTCAGTCAAGAATACAAATATCAACATCTGCTATATGAATCGTATATTTCAGAAATACTTGGGCGATATAAAAGAAGATCAGACTGCATTACATCATAAAATGAAAAACAATAATGATACATGATGAAGTCAAAGTTGGCTGTGATTGTGGGATACTGTAACTGATATATATGGATATAACATTCTGTAATTCTCTAGCATTAATGTTTACCTCATCAGTAATACTGGATACATCTCTGGCTGACGGTGCTTGATCAAGTATTATTATTCGATCACATTTGAGATCTCGGGATGTGCATATTTCATGATAACTAGTCAACTTTGATTGTATAAACTTCCAAAAGTTCACCAATATTCAGATATATCTTCGCATCCATTCAATCTCAAGTTCTAGTTTGAATAAGTTTCAGATCCTTGTAGAAGATATTTCGAGCGGTAGCGTCGACAAACACTGCGTATCATACATTTAAGTCCACTGGAAAATTAGTGTTATTGCAGTTAGTGGTTGTATATCATAAGATAGATAACGGCTCGTAACATGCAGAATACTACTGAGGCTTTTAATGCTTATATTACTGTGATTAATAAGCATTACGACTAACATAGTTAATCAATCAAGTTTTTTCATACAAAAATCATTTTTCTTGTTCACTTTCCCCCATAATCTTTACCAACTATTGGATGAAAACAATAATTATTTTAAGCTATCTTTATTCAGATTACTGCAATTATTAGTTTCATTTCACTGATATATGTTATCACTGTTTTTACCGCTTCACACTACGTTACTTTACCATTACAAAATGATTTTAAAATGCAGCAAAACAATCAATTTTCATGACCGTGATAGAAGTGTATCGATAAAGATCAAAACAGTATTCGATAGGCATTTTATCATAATTTTGAAGTTATCAACAGAGAACATAATATTGCACTGGTTATTATCTTTAGCTTAAATTGATTTGTCATATGATATGATACTGGTTTACGGACATCATCAGACTGCATCATGATGCAAACGCTAAATTGCAATCCCGAAGAGAGAAGAACAAGAGGAAGATCAAAGAACACACTGTGCCGGAAATTGGACACAGACATCAAAATAAGAATTAGATTTAGGGTTTTTATCACGAAGAGACATCAACTATAATGCCAAAACTTTATTTAGCCAAATGTATGGATAAATATCGCTCCGAAATTCGTGACTCATTATCTTATATCTGATTGGTTCGTCCATAAATTCTATTCTTGACGGTATTTCAACAATGAAACAAATGCTCATCTACTTTATAATGGTGTTTTCTGAGATGGATAATTTAATTATTGATCTGAAAAACATCATCTGCACTTGGATTCATTTTATTCATCTATGAATCAACCTTCTGTTTTTTTGTTCTAGTATCTATGTATCATTAACATTTTTGAAAGATTTCTTCAAAATTAATTGTCTTATTTAATTAGAAATCTGTCTATATCATGTCCATTTATGAACTTTACTAATGATCAATTCAATAGTATCATTCAGTTTGTATTTATTAAATAGAATGAATTTTACCTGAAAAGATATTATTTCAGGTTTATTTTTAGAAGGTGTTTTGTGGAGGTTTTAGTCATTTCAATGGTTGAAATCATGAGCCAATCGAAGCTAGACCACCATCGAAAACCTAGAAGTACTGGACGGCCGTTTATCCTTGTATGGGACTCCTCAGCAGTTCGCATCCACTTTTCGAAGTTCGAACCCATGACCTCTAGACCACTGATCCAACTTCCGATAGCGTTTATGTCTAACTTCAATCAATCCACGAAATTAAGCAACCGCTCACCATTGTTTTCAGTAAGTTACTATCTGAAAACAGACCTTGTTGAACTCTACTGGTTACGGCTTCTCACTAGAACTCTAGGAAATGCCTCTTGAAGTCCGTCACTAAGTGAGCAGATGATTTATTTATTTATTTATTTAAGATTTATCCTAAAAACAATTTGCTTATAATTAATAATCATTATTATTACATTATAAATCATAAATGGTTATATTTTAACCATATTTACAAACATATCTATCTATCTATGTGTGTATGAAGGCAGATTCAATTGTTAGAATTGTGACCGTTTTAATTGGTCAATTTGAGTAGTGAATTGCTTATGCATGTTGGTCGATAATTGACCACTAATATATGTATTCATACACAGACTCATATATATATATATATATATATGCATAGAGAGCAAGACATTTATTTCATCTACTCTCTTACCCATTTGCCTATTCACTTCCATATATATGGAATATGCAAAATCATAATACACGTGAACATCAATGTTTATATAGATATAGAAATGTGTGAATAAAAACAAATAGAAAAACAAAATTTTTGGTGGTGTTGTTGTTGTTGTTGCTAATTTACAAATCAATTTTAATTGGATTATGAGAAATGAACTTGTAAGCTAATAAGAATAATCATACTGATCAAGTTCTTCTTTTTTTTTATTTTTTGGAAAAAATAATCTCCCCTTTATTCTTTCTTTTTTTTAGATTTTTATTGTTCTCATCTATTTTTCAATAATTATGAAATTATGATTGATGATTATTTACCTGTGTATATATAGATTACACAATCATAATAAATAACAACAACAACAAAAAACCACCGAAAAACACATTCAAGGTTTCCAAGTTTTAATATTGAAAAACATCAGAACAACAAAAAAAACAAGAAGAACAAAATTGATAACATGAAATTTATTCAAATACATTATTAGTTACCAAGTAATTCGATCGGATATACCAAAAAATCAATAAACAAATAATAAAGGAGTTACATAATAATTTTTTTTCTTTTTTCGCCGGGGGGATACCCATAAAAGTGTTTCAATATAATAATCATAAAACAATACAATATCTAATGATTATTATATATAAAAAGATATTGATTATATTTATATTCATTATATGACATGATGATTGTTGAATAGATTTCATTGAATATTCAAAGTATCTATGAATAATTGATGAATAATGAAGTTAGAAACAAACATAAAAAAAAACAACTTTCTTTATTGTACACTACAATATTGATTGATTTGAAAAAAAAAACAAGTAAACAAACAATCATAATGTTTTAAATGTTGAAAATTTCTCGGAAAAACTAACTATTCAAATTTCATTTTCGAGCATTTTGGATAATTAAAAGAAAGGTAAGTCATCAATGAATAATTGTTCTCTTTTTTTTTTCTTTTGAAAAAACAACAACACTAATGATAACACAAGAAAATGAGCTTTTTAATTGTATGACATTAAATATTGAATTTCATGTTGTCATGACAACTAGTACCTGGAAAATTAAAGTGTAATAATGTTAGATTGATAAAATTAAATGATTGTTTTGTTTTGATTTATTAGATCAAATTATTTCAATAAGAGAAATACATTTTCAATAAAATATCTTCTTTATATAATAAATGAAAATGATTAATATTTTTTTGCTTTTTCAAAACAAGTCAGATGATATTGTGAATTGAATCTAATGTAGAAAGAAACTATAGAACTAATTGTTGAAATCTAGAACAAGAGTTTTGTCCTATTTAAGACTCTTCAGTATGTAAACATGAAATAAAATTCATCAGCTATTTATTATTCATTCTTAAATGTAAAACATACATCATAGTAGACAACATTGATAAACTTTAAAATGTACATTATAGTCATTCATTGATAATTAGAGTAGAATTTAAACAAATGTCAATTGTAGGTATCATTACCAAGGTTTGATTTGGTAATTTCGATTAAATTAAGCATTGGGTAGATTTTTATCAATAAATAAATTAAATAATATATTTGTAATATCCCAATGTGTTAAAAAAAAACTAGATTTTCTGACGTTCCGTGACTTATTGTAAGCCACTTCTTTAGAGAATAAATAACCAAATTCTCTGAAGAAGTGACTTACACTAAGTCACGAAACGTCAGAAAATCTAATTTTTCTACTCATTGGGACATTACAAAAATATTATTTATTTAGAATGTCAATCGTTTTCAACTTTTCTATTAATCGATACTTTATTACATTACATGGTGATAATATTATTTTACTGTTTTGTTCTTAGAAATAATTATTACTTTATATTAATCAATCCAAGCAAAATAGTTGAGACAATCTCATCTGGTTTCAGAGTAGACTTACATTACTGAATACTTTATATTGTCTAATGTAATTTTCAGCAGTATTTAGTATGAAAGACGCTTAGAAAAAAACTAAAGCCAAGATTGGTTAAACTAAAATATAACATGAAGTTTACGAAGTCCATTGTCAACTGATTTATGGTATGTTGACAGATGAAAGCCTATGGATTTGAGGCTTTATCATAATTCTAATTACTGGTTAAATACTTTATGTGATATGATTTTAAGTCAGCCACTGTAGTAAAGATATAAGTCGTAATAGTCTATCTATTAAAACTTTAGGATTTATTTTTCTTTCCTAGTTCATATTTACTGATTTCATTTCATTTTACTGGACTATGTTCACAATGTTTACTTCACTTGTATTATTGATGTAATTCATATTTCTCCGTATTGTACTGATGTGTATTGTGATCGTTTAGACTAATACACATTTATATCACATTCTAAATGTTTCGTAACCAACCAATTGTAAGTTTGAATTAGTTGGTTGAGTATTTTGTCAATAAATCTTAAATTTTTCCATCTCTTAGAGTGTTATTACCTCATATTTTTCTTGCTAATGATAAGTAAAGGGAAGTGATTTCTGTTTCTATAGGCATTGTTACTAAATACTACCTTTGACCATTATCAAGTATTTCTTGGTACTCAATCATTTTACTCTTCAACTCATACACACAGGCGGATGGATTATAGTTAGATACAAGAGATAGTAGGAAAAGACATCAGAAGAGTATTTATTTCATCATCCATACAATACATTCTAATTAATACCTCTATGCATTCAATTATATATTTTGTATTGGTTAGTGGTGAAATTTAAGTTAATGTAATTTGGACGAACATCCAATTATAATTAATATTTCTCACAGACTGAACTCAAATAAGATACTATTAGAAACTAGGAAACACTTGACAACCATTTCCTTCTGCTATGAGACACTTCAGCAATGAACAAACACTACCTCATAAGGTAAGGTAATACTCAATACATTATCAATTTCATATCAGGTTATCCACTACAAAAGTTATTTCCAAAAACAAAACAAAAAAAACGTTTTTCATAACTCCACTGATAAATAATTAAATGAATCTGTTCTGATAATCAATCCATACTACTCATTTCCGTGATCTACTTAATTTACTAAACGTCCTATCAACAATCCATTTCATTATCATGAAATTTGTTTGTTTTTTCCCACTAGTAATAATTTTTCTTTCGTTCTCCCAATTGAATAAAAAAAAGAATGAATGAATGAATAGATGAGAGTAATCTTGCTTTGACGATCAATATAACAAAATCAATATTTTTATGAGATAAGAATGAATATAGCATAAGCAATAAGTGTGTGTGTGTGTTGGAGAGAGAGAGAGAGAAAGGGAGAACGAGAGAGTGAGACTTTGACAGAGTAAAAGAATAAAAAAATGATGAATGATCGAAAAAGAAACAATATTTCTTATAGTTTTAAAAAAGGAGAACAGAATAATAATAATAATAGTCATGGTAATAAGGTTAAATAGTTTTGTCATTAAGTCATCTAGAAAAATGAATATCAAATGTAATGGATTTTACTTATATTAAATTAATTTAAATTATCAGAAGAGGTTTTTTGAAGATTTTAGTAATTTCAATAGTTAAAGTCATGAGTCAATTGAAGTTAGACCACCATCAAAAACCTGGAAGTACTGTATGGCCGTTTCGTCCCTGTATGAGACTTCTCAGCAGTGCGCATCTACGATCCTGCCTCTAGAGATTCGAACCCAGGACCTATCAGTCTCTCGCATGAGTGCTTATCTATCAGACCACTGGGCCTGTCGACATCCAACGGTGTCAGTGTATAACTTCAACCAATCCATGAAATTGCGCCACCGTCCACCATCGTCTCCAGTAAGCTGATATCTCACAACAGACATGGTTGAAGTTAAACATTAACACCGTTGGGTTTCGGCTCAGTGGTCCAATGGTTAAGCTCTCGTGCGCGAGACTGATAGGTCCTGGGTTTAAATTTCGCAGGGGGGCGAGATCGTGGATGCTCACTGCTGAGGAGTCCCACAATAGGATGAGACGGCTGTTCAGTGCTTCTAGGTTTTCGATGGTGGTCTAGCTTCGATTGACTCAACTATTGAAATTACTAAAATCTCCACAAAACCCCTGCTGATTATTTTTATATATTAACTAAGTTAGAAGGATTTGGAAGATGATTTTCAGAAATGAAAGAAACTTATTATATTGTCTAAAAGAAATCAAATCAACACTGACTTATTTTTATTTTTAATTCAATATGGTTTAAAGTAGTATGAATTCTTTTGAAATAAAAAAAAATAATAATTGACAAACATTAAAAATGAAACTTAATGTACCGTTAATTAAAATCTAAAACAATGCAGACAAGATACTATTTATTGTAGTATTAGTTACAATGATAAGCCCAGACAATGTGTTCTAGCTTTTGGACAGACCAGTTTATTCATTTTTCTTTTGAGTCACATTTTGATTTTGCTTATTATTCACTTATCAATTTTGACTGTTCTTATATGAGCGTATATGTGTACATTTCTTATACTACTCATAATATGTCTGTAACCTATTTTTATCTAACTCTAAATATTGATTAACGCTCGATTAAATAGAGTTAACTTACATGCCTTCTCCATTATGTGTCATTTCGTTTTGATCTCATCTCTTCGTTTTGTTCGTCGGATTGTCTGTCCAGATCAATGATTGTACAAAATATATGTATTTGAAATTATTTTCTCGTATTCCGTTATTTATTAGTGAGAACTAAGACGATAATTATATACGAGGATAGACGATATGTATACTTCAATAACATTTATACGATCCAATTGGATTCAGATCCCGAGTCACTAGATCCTTACGATGATGTTTTTTGTCAATGCTATACCATCGTAGTTATAATATTTTACTGTGTAGTTTATACTGAATTAGAATACTACTTAACTGATAAAAAGGTTACTAAAAACCAAGGGTAAACTGTCAATGTGTATTTTTCGGTTTATTCGCCTCTATAAAAAATGTTTTGTTGATTGCAGAAAATTTGTACTTTCTAAACGCATACCTGAGAATTAAACGAATTGATTATTTGAAAATGAATGAGAACCAGTCAATAGTTATACTGTTAAAATTCTGGTCTACTTCGGTCATCTACCTTCATCAAGACCTTTAATGGAATTATTTACAAAATTAAACAGACTTTTTTCTGAAGAAAAGTGAATAGGTAGTATGTTTATTAATGAGTCTTCAGTAATTTGTCGCTTTAAACCTCTTCTTTATGTTCAGTTCCTTAATTTACCATCGTTTTAAACTATTTTCTAATCTTGTGAATTATTTTGATATGTGTTTCTCTCTCTTTTATCTTGTTTGTATTCTTATAGTTTTAATCATGGGTTGATTTTAGCTAGACTACCATTGAAAGTTCGGAAGTACTAGATGAACGTTTTGTCATAGTATGGAACTCGTTAATTGTGCACATCTATGACCTGGCACACTAGAATCGAATTCACAAGTTACAGTTTAGCGCGCAAATGCTTGATCATAAAACATCTGAGCCGAAATTTCAATGTATAAATATTCAACTTTAATCAATTTACGATATTTTCATTATTTACGTCGATCTTATACATCGCTCTTCCATATATGTTTCCTTTATCTTCTTCATTAAATGTTTCGAAGATTGAGTAACTTATATTTAAGAGTTGTAAATATTTTTAAACAATTTTAGATAAGTTTGTTAAAGATCCAATAACTTGTTGTTTTATTATGATCTAGTTTTTGTGAAATAATGAGAAATGCGTTTGGACAACGTTCGTAATTAACATCTTCAAATAGACAATTATTTAGATAAAGCGAACTCATCACATTGAGGGTGAAGTTTGTAGTGATTGAATAAGTTTAATGTTGTTCAACACTATTTGACTGATACTACATTAAATGATATATTTACTATAGTACAAAGCAATGAAGTATTTCTAGTAGGAATGGTTATTGAAGAAA